CTGGTGGGTGTTTTAACTCAAGAATGGGCTAAAATTCCTTTGGAAACAATTCACAATTTGTATGAATCAATACCTTGGAGAATTGAGGCTATAATTGCCTCAAAAGGTGGACCTACACCATATTAAAATATATTTTGTTGATTTTCCAAGGTGTTTCCATTATTTTGTCCAACCCCTGTATATTCCTACATGTATTCTATAGTTTTTAATTTAGTCATTAGGATTTTACAGCACACCATGTTGAATATCCCACTCTTGAACTGATAAAGAAATCACTCTTTATATTAATGATGCCATGAATTAAAATGATCTTTAATATATACATAATAAACAGTGTAAAAGTTATACCTTCTTCAAACTGTAAACATAAACAATGTAATAATATTGTTCATTAATTCAGGAATATTTGTCACTATGTATATGACTGAGGGTTTGTGAATTAAAAGGATATGTATATTTGAGTATTTAGTTTTGATCTGAGGTTCAGTGGTATGCATTTTTAAAATCGATGTTTGCGTGTATGTGCTGGACTTCTGCAGTTCAGAATGTCCGAAAATTTGCAAAGCTCCCAAGAAACTTAACAAGTGTTTTTCTAGTAGTACAAGTTACAACTAATGATGTGATAACAAAAACAAACTACTCTTCAGACTGGCAAAGTATAATCGTAAAATCTGTTATCCCTAAGATTCATCTTGATATCCAGGGCATTGGTCAATATTAGTTCCACACCCATCGGTATATGGATGTCAAGGGCTACATTCAATTTGGTTTTCTTGCTTTGATTGATTGTTTTCAGTAGTTGAAAATGGACAGAACGGCCTTTTGCTAATTTGCTTGTTTTTGTTCCTATTACTTTACCAATTCATTGAACCACTTACAAGCAGAATATTTAAACTGGGAGTCAAAATTATGCCCAATAATCAGTACCCAACTAGCTCATCATCCTCTTAGCTTTGGGTGTGTAGTTACTTTTGTTTTTCTTGAGTTACTATACATTACAAGTCATTTCTGGAGAGTGGTGTACAACACACTATCATTTTCCAGATTTCCTATGATGCATGGGAACCCTGACTTTAACATAACCAAAACTCCGAAATGTTTAACAGTAATTTGTTCAACCATGAAGGAAGTGCATAACAATTAATGTTAGACAATGTTACGCCTATACATCTTTTCACTAAAGGGGAACATGTATCAAAGTTCCAAGCTTTTATCAATAGTAATACCTAACTTGTTTTTTAACTACAACAGCAATGTTCTACTTGTACAAGAAATAAGTTATTTCCAAATTTCTATACCTTAAATGCATATTCACACTTATAAATATGGAGTGGTTCTTTTCCATTACTCTCTACTGTCCCTGTATCACTTAGAATCTTGACTTCAAAATATTTCCTGAACCATTAACATAACTTGTAACCAACAATGTTCCTAAGATAGAACCTTAAGAAAACCATCATTAACATTTTTCCAATCTCAAAAATATCAGCTTATCTTTGGATTCTGCCTTCTACTACCATAGTGTCAAGTAAATCTCCTTTCTAATTTCTTTTTCACCAACTAAACTTTTGTTTGTTACACCTTATCAAAGGATTGCTGATAGTCTTAACTCCATTTGTAACAACAGTCGACAGGGGTTAGAGAAATTGAACTGTAAAGTGGTTGGATGGGAGAAAGTGAAAAGTTATTACTGGAGTTCAGCCTAACTGAACCCTTGTTACTAGTGGAGTGTCTCAGGGGCCAGTGCTTAGGCCTTTGCTTTTTCTTATTTACATTAATAATGATACTGATATGGGCATAATTAATATTAAAAAAAATTAAGGACAGCTTATCTTAAATTTACTGCATTAACCACATCTGTAGGCAATCCATTCTAATAGCTAACAACCATATTAGAAAAACAAACCTGTCTTAACTGAAGATGCCTCTCAACCTGCCAAAATTTATTTTTGTGTCCTATAATCTTACCATTAGATATGGAAAAACATCAATTCCATTAACAATCTTAAAACATCTCATTCAGATCCCTTCTAAATTTTCCACTTTAAAAAAATAAACAATCTATTACTGAAATGATGAATCTAAGTTTCAAATGGACAGCAATTGCCTGTTGTAGAAACCTACAAATGTAAAGGACGACGTTTCGAAAGTCTTCAGCCTTTCGTCTTCAGGTCATCACCTTACCATCTCAGGTATCATCCTAGTAGCCCTCTTTTGAACTCTTTCCAACAGTTCAATGTCTTTCCTAAGGTAAGTAGCCCAAGACTGAATACAATTCTCAAAATAAGGTCTAACCAGTGACCTACACAGTGAAATTATAACCTCTTTAAAATTCTATTCAATATTCCTATAGATACAACCTAAAATCCTATTTGCCCTACCACTAGCAACAGCTTGAATGGTTGAAGATACTGATCAACCTGAACATCAAGATCCTTTTCTTTTATAACACTGTTAATCCATTCGCTGTGTCTGAGAAATATGTGTCCCAGCCACAGTGAAGGGTTAAGGTTATTCCCAAGAAAATTATACTTGTGATTTAAATTTTGATGACCCACAAGTATTACCTTGCATTTAAAAAACAATTGTCATTTATATCCCAACTCACAAAATAACCTATATCCTTTTGTAAAGAAACAGCAGCATTCTAACAGAAAGCAACACCCAAGACCTTAATATCATCAGCAAATTCAAATTTATTGACATTCCTCGATCTCTGTCATTGATGTAAGTCAAAATTGAGAAAAGTCCTAAGCTATCTCACTGAGACATTAATCCAACAAAATTTTAAACTTTGTTACATGACTTTGGAAATCATTTTTATCAGGCTTTCAAAAACTTTTCCCACCAGTGATGTAAGGTTAATAGGCTTATAATTACCTGTATAATTCTTATCACCTTCTTTATGAAGAAGAGTAACCTTAGCCACTTTTGAATCTTCTGTCATCTGCCTACTGTTTAAGGACACAAAAAAATAGTCATTAGTGGCTCACATAATTTTAATTCCCTTGAAAACCCTTGGAGAAATATTATATGACCCACGAGCCATATCATTCTTTAAATGTCTTAACAAGCTCAGAATTAATGTGGTCATCTTATTCATTTTTTTTTTCCATCTATAAACTATTCAGAAGGAAGTATGTTATTATAATTAAAAACTGAAGAAAAAGTAAAATTTAGTATTGCAGCCATCTCGTAATCATCAGAAATTAGCCATCCTTTATCATCCCTCAAAGACTCTACTCCCATACTACATTTTGCATACTTTTATTGTATTCAAAGAAAGCCTTACACTTAATTTTTACATTTTCAGCCAACCATTTTTCATATACCCTTTGAGATATCCTAATGTCCTGTATGAGCAACTCTCTTGATCTTCTATAATCTTATAACTTTCTCATCATAGCTGTCAATTCATACTTCTTAAATTTATGTGTATCTGTAATGTTATCCCCTATATTTTTTTAAAAATCAAATTGTCTTTTACCTGCAGCCACACATTTTCTTTCTAAAAGGAACATCTCTATCTTCAATATTTAAAAGTTTATATTTTAAAACTTTCCACATTTCAACAGTATCTTTAATTAATTCATTTGTCCAATTCACTACAAATAATTATTTTTGCATCCCTTTAAAATTTGTTTCTTGAAATTTGTAAAAAAAATTTCATTATTCCCAAATTTTTACGCACAGTAAAACATCAAACTTAATAGAGCAATGATCACCTGCATACAGATGTTCCTCAACCTCCACCCTCTCAACCATTTCTATATTAGAAGTTAACAACAGATCTAAAATGGCATTTTTCCTAGTAGGTTCCTTGACCAATTGATTAAGAAAACCATCTTGAACAGTTTCTAAAAACTCTGTCTTCCTGATGGTTCAACATTTAACATTTCCCAGTCTATATACCTGAAATTAAAATCCCCAATAATTATGACTTTATTAACAGCTCAAATCTTATTCTTGCTGCAAAGTTCATCATTATTTTCATCACTTTTATCTGGCAATCTATAACAAATTACAACTAAAGTCTTCTCCCCATACATACATTAAAAGAAACTGAAGTGAGATTTTAACTTGACACTCTCCCTCTTTTTAGTACTCTATTCCTGTTAAGTAACCAACTGAAACAAAAGGTTATTGCTATAGTGGTGGATAAGTTACTCAAACTATCAAGGCATGTTCTGTTGCAACTAGTAAATTGATTAAAATTTTAGTGTGTACTTACAGACCTATCAATTATAAGTCAAAAATTGTAATTATACAAATTACTAGTAAGATCTCACTTGGAATACTGTGTACAGTGCTAGGATGATTCCTAAAATGGAGGGGTTATCTGATAGGGATAAGTTCTCTTAGTTTGTCTTGGCAAAAGAAAAATAAGTGGCGATCTTACTGAAGCCTACAAAATCATATGGGGGAGAGGAACAATAGAATAAAGGCCTCTGATTTCTTTGTGCTATATTCAAAAATAATGAGAATAAAGAACACAAATTTAAAGACTTGAAGGAGTTGATATTGTTAGTAATGCAGGCCATCATTTTACAAGAGTTTAAAAGTGGAATAGATGATTTCCTGAAAAATGAAAGGTTAGTCTAATTTTTATTTTTCTCAGTGGTATCTGTGCAAGGACAGTCGTGAAGGATCAAATGGTCCCTTGTTTGGTTGAGGCTATATACATGACTGTCGTGTATATACACAAATGAAAACTAAACAACTGACATTTAGGTAATCTGTAATTTTGATAATATACAAAACTGTGTTGGAATTTTATATACTAAAAGTTTCATCTAACTCAGATGGCACAAAAAAAGTTAAATATACCATGCCCATCTCCACCGATCATGGTTCTTTATGTAAACAAAGGCAGATGGCAATTAATGTTTCTACACTCTTATTCGTGTAGCAAAAAAACGTTTCCAGAAAATGTTTCACCTCACAAGAGAAACATGTAAGCAACAAGAGATTCCAAGATAAGAAAATCAGTTGTCATTGGTTAGAATTCAATGCTTGACCTTAGGACTTGAAACTAATACCTTTGCCTATTTTGCTACCAAGTCCTGTTGTGTACTACTTACAAACACTAGGAATCATGGTTTTCTACCTGTATATAGACTTCAGAATAGTAGGTAGAAAACCATTGTGTACATAGTGAATACCCCCCTTGTTGTCTTTATGTTGATAAAAACATCAAATGAGAATATCAACATGATAAAATATATACATATAAATATATACAAAACCTAGGAAATAGTTAGTTCCAAAAATTTTAATTACCATATTGTGAATTAATCATTTTAACAATTTCATTTTTTCTTTTTAAATTTCACAACTAGGCTATATTATACTTTTCAATAATGCTAATACTAGTTAAAGGCCTCTGATTTCCCATAGTGTCCTTCAAATTCAATTCTTTCTCAAAAAACAGTGACTGTGTTTGTAATCACACTATATTGTAATCTTACACTGTACTATTTACACCTGTCCAAGGTTACTATTATAATACTTGTACATATATATTGACATTGTGTCATAATATCACTATCAATTGTTTAAAATATTCAGTTACTATAATTTAGTTTCATGATTTGAATTCAGTGAATAGGGTGTAATAGCGAGTTATCAAACTATGAAGTTTTCTATTCTAACGTTAAATTGTCTCAACAAATCTCTATTTACTTTACGCAATTACTACCTAATAATATTAATAATATAATATATTACCATGCAAATGTAACAATTTACAGTTATTTTATGCCTATTTCCAACAGACAAATTACGACCTGACAATATCTCGTTTTTCTTGATCAGTATAAATTATTAGGTCCTCAACAAACATTTCTTATAATTTATCAAACTTTTTACTTGAACAAAATATATCAACCTTACCTTATTCTTATTTTCACTCAAAAATAAGCCTCAGGGTCAACTGCATTTACAAACGTATAGTGCTTTTCAATATTAATAATACTAACATATTGCCACAACATCTTGTTTTTCCGTCATGTATGAAACAAGGTTGTTCACTCACTCGCTTGATGGCGCTAGAAGACATGCATCGCTGACTCTTGGTGCCAAAATTATCACAAATTGATGAAAAGGTTTTCAATTGTAAGATGAACTCTACGAAATATGCGCATTCTTCAAATGATTTTTTCCAGTCAAGGGAAGAATATCAGTTTTTTTACCAGTATCTGTTTTGTAAATACTCAGACTGTCCACAGTGTTAGTATAATTTATTTATACTCTAAACAAGTTAAACTAGCAAAGCCACTGCTTGAAGCAACTGATCAAAATAACCAAATTAATCAAAATGTAGATATTCACAGACAAATACTTATCCAACTAATATTTTAATGGATAAAGATTACTAATAGCACATACATAACTTCATCTAGTAATCGAATACATAAGCTCGTTACTCTAATGGAGAACTAATTTTGTTAACAATATACTAATCACCCCCTCCTACTCGTGTTCCCATTTCCGGTCTTGTTATTGCACCATTCGGGGGGAATCTACGACGAACGCTTTATTTAAATCAATAGAAATTTTAAATGCTTGGATCAACTCACCTGAAATTCTTCTCACGCTACTGAGAAGATAATTCCCACTATTTAATATTTTCTTCATAGCTCAAATTTTTAGATTACCGTATTTTTCGGTGTATAAGACGCACTTTTTTACCCCAAAATTTGATGTCAAAATCTGCTTGCGTCTTATACACCGAAGGTATGAATAATATATATGTATATATATATATACGATATACACAAGTCATGGGTAAATATATTTAAATAGACATGCATAGTTTAGTTCAATTGAATGTGTTATTTATAACAATAGTAGTTTTTTTTCTTTCAAAAACATAACTATTTATAATGCTCCCTAAATAATAATAAAAAATTACTGTGAAACCAATGAAGATTTTGTGGGTTTTGAACCAAACTAAATAACATTAAACCTTTTTTTTTTCACTTACGGTTTTTTCTTATTTTGATGTTTTGAGCTCTTTTGTGTTTAAAACAATATATACTAATTTTTAAAGTATCAAATTTAATTTTTGTTCAATAAAAATCTTTCAAATGCGATTGCAGCTTTTTTTCCCCCAAAACTTTGTTTTCAAAATAAGGGTGCGTCTTATATTCCGAAAAATACGGTAAGTATAACTTAAATATACTGTGAACTACTTCCTTCATTTTTTTATGATTTTCATGCAATAATGGAGCTCATTAAACTAATTAAAGTGATATAACCTAGTGGCGGAGCCAGTTAGGAAATGTTAGGTAGGCCTGGAGCTACAATGGAAGGGCAGGAGGGTTTACAGACATTTGGAAAAAAAAAATTACAGAAAGCCCATATATGGCTACATCACTGCTGTAAACAAAATATTATCAGAGTTTATACAGTACTAGCTGGAGTACCCGTCTGTTGGACGGGTGAAATATAAACTCATTTGTAACGAAGTGTTCGAAATTGTGCTTTTATATTTTTCATAACAAAATAAACATTAAAAGTGCAATAAAAATACATAAAGGTACTAATACTGAAAAGAAAGACATACTGTTTTCAAAAATTATGGCAAAATTAAATTAAAAGGGGGTCCGACCCCCTCACGATCTTCCTCATGTCATCCTGTATCACTGTATCAAGTTGTGCTGATTCGGTACTTTTCCTTTTATCTTTCTTTTTCATGACATTAATAATAAACGACCACAAGAGCTAAATATTTTATGGATTTCTGTACCTTCACTGTGTCATTTTAGATTTTTAAATATCGAAATTAATTTCTTACTTTCTTCTCTTCTTACTAATACTATCTAAGTAATTCTGAATCAAAGACATTTCTTAATATTATCAGTATTTTAAACGTCTTAAAACTAATTACAGTCTAAACAGTTATTCATATCGATAACTCTATAATAAACAACAAAAATATCATATGAAACTGTGAATGACCTTACCACTTACATTTACAAAATTATAAATGTGTATACCTATCATTATTCTCTGGTTTTAATTACTACAACCAATACCAATTTAAAGTTGTCATTATTTCATAAAAGTAGAATGTTCGTATAAATTTACTCTTTACTTTATAAATGACCTTCTACAAGTGAGATACACAATACCTACTGAGATCTGAAATTCTTCGTCGTTTAGTAGCCCTGACCACTTCTCGAGCCTACTAAATTAACAACAACAAAAAAAAAAAAAAACACTGATCAACTCAATAGGACCAATTTTTTATTTCTCTTTTTACATTGGTCCTCTAGTGGCTCAGCGGCAATTCTGAGAGCTCACTTCACTAAAAAAAAACACAGCGGTTTTCGATACTTGTGGTGGACAAAGCACAGGTAACCCATCCTGTAGATTTGTGTTTAATAACAAACAAACAATTTTTTTTTCTTGTTTGTTTGTTTGTTTGAATTTCGCGCAAAGCTACACGAGGGCTATCTGCGCTAGCCGTCCCTAATTTAGCAGTGTAAGACTAGAGGGAAGGCAGCTAGTCATCACCACCCATCGCCAACTCTTGGGCTACTCTTTTACCAACGAATGTGGGATTCACCATCACATTATAACGCCCCCACGGCTGAAAGGGTGAGCATGTTTGGTGGGACGGGGATTCGAACCCGCGACCCTCAAATTGCAAGTCGAGCGGCCTAACAACCTGGCCTTTTATTTTTTCTTGTCATCACTCATGCATTTCTTTACTTTTCCCCCTAAAACCACAGTTGTGTTTTCGTCTCGTGAAAGAATCTTCTTTACTTTAGTCTCTAAAATGGAGTCTCAAGGTTTTGGGGGATTCCTGCCTAATTCCAAACGTTATAAGAAATTACTATCATGTCTGAAAGGTTGGTGTTGTTTGTTATTAAGCATAAAGCTACACAAAGGGCTATGTGTGCTCTGCCCACGACAGGTATCGAAACCCGGTTTCTAGTGGTAGAAGTCTGCAGACATACCACTGTGCTACTGGAGAGCATCTGAAAGGAAAAGGAGCTCCTGGAACACGTGACATGGAAATACGAAATGTGACGAACGTTAACATCTCAATTGAGATATACCTTTTAGTCAGTATTGAAATAGTAATCTCAAGTTACATTATTTTTTTGGTATTTATTTGAAATTTTATAAAGGTTATGTACATTCTAAAAGTGATAGAATCAAAAATTGTTGTTTTCAGTTAATTAAAGAGTTTTATTTAACGTTGCACATGTATATTTGCAATTGTGTCTTTCTTTAAACATTTACAGCTGCAATTAATAAAATGGAATCAACATATATATACATGTTCTTGGAGTTGATTTATTTCACCTGATAAGGACCGATTACAAATTTTGCATCAATAAAAAGAAGTACCTGAAGTTTATTGAAAACCTTAATAAGCTGATGAGGCAAGTAATCTGGTCCTAAAATCATGTAGAGTATTCTATAGTAAATTATCATTAAGTACGGTAGTACTTAATAGTAGGGATTGTGATAAAACAAAATGACTGTCATAAAAATCACTCGATAAAAAATTACCTTTAAAATGTCTGAATATTAACAATGACTATTTCACAGTATAGGCTGAGCAAAACTAAAGCTTATTGTACTTATAAAGTCGCCTAAATCTCTAAAAACGTGTTTATGGAGTGAATCAAAATTTCACTATTTCAACGAATTTTCATCTAAGTAAATATGTGACTTTTCCAGAAAAGCGTACAGAAAAAAATGACAAACCTTATCGTTCTAATTATTTCACATAACTCTTTCGTCTGGGGTCCGAATGATTCTTTTTGTACGAAAAATGATACTAGTATATATAAATAATTACATAGTAAATAATTACAGTGATTTGCCAAAGTAGGGATAACATTTTTTTAACTTTTAAGTAACTCAGTTTTGTAATTTTGACTTTCTTCTTTCAATACTTTTTATAGCATTAAAATTTTCTTTAGTACTATAGCTAGCTAGGTTACGTATATATCGATCCCTATTTGTCTTTATATAATTTATATTTTTTATCATACTTGTTAATTTTACAGTTGCCGTCAGTTTGCTTACCGTATAAGTCAAAATGTACAAGGTTATACCTGCGCATAGTTACATTATCTCCGCGAAAACGAGAGGTCCGTGGATTTAATGTGTAGAAGGTAAGACGCAGTGATCTATGACAGTGTAATAACAAATATAACAAAAACACTTTATTTGACGAAACGCAAATAAAAAGGAAAGGAAGACTACGATATGAATTGGTCGTTTAGTGGTAGGAAAAATAAAATAGATTGAGAAGAAAATGGGTTAAATTTGATTTACACTAAAGCTTACATGGTCAACATATAAATCGAAAAAGACAGGACTTTTACTGCTTATTTTGACTCTTTTTGTATCAGTGTTTAATCCTTTTCTAAAAGCGACATTCTCTCTATAATTACCCAATGAGAAAAAGGGCATTGAATGCTGAAATATTTTCTTCTCCATGTGACAGCCGAAAGGTATTCTCCAAACACAAGATCAAAAAGAAAACAATTAAACAACTTCACGAAGCAATAGTTTGTTTTTTAATTTTGTGCAAAGGTACACGAGCTAGCCATCGCTAACTTAGCGGTGTAATACTGACCAGGTGGTTAGGGTGCCCGACTCCCAATCTGCAAGTCGCGGTTTCGAATCCCTGTCACACCAAACATGCTTGCCCTTTCAGCCGTGAGGACGTTATGTGACGGCCAATTCCATTATTCGTTGGTAAAAGAGTAGCCCAAGAGTTGGCGGTGGGTGGTGATGACTAGCTGCAGATAGCTCTCGTATAGCTTTGTGCGAAATTCATAACAAACCAAACCATAACAAACTATACAAGAATGAATTATTTAGTATTTGCATAATACATAAATAATAAGCCTGTCAATTCCTGTTTTTTTTACTCATCCCATTATTTAAAAATTACTAGTGTCATTAGTAGTCTTACAATCATTTGATAGA